GTAGTTTATAAAATTTTGAATGCAAGTCAACAAATGTGACAACATGGCCTTTCACCCATGTCCCATCTCAAAAGGGTTAAACATTGTTATTATTCATTTGTAGCTGCCACAATTGTAATGTTTCCAGGTTGTACAGCACTGAAATGCATTTTAAGGACTTTTCAGGCTAAGGAGGGCATAATTATACATTCCTATACTTTTATCATGCCACATTTATGACTCTTGGACCACAGCAAAAGAAATATCTCTGAACAGAAATAGGGACTTCAAATCCAGAAAGTACAGAGACTGTAAAAGTAAAGGAACACTACATTTCCAATAATGACCAAAAACTGTATATGTATAAAGCAAGGGTGCAAAAATAAGCTACACCTCAATGGTTTAGGGCAGTCAAAAGAATGCTATCATGAGCCAAGAAAAGCACAATACTCAAACAACCCAATACAGGTTATCCATCATTCACAAGTTTATTATAGATTTAACTCTGTACAAAACTGAATTCACTTAATTTGTAAAGGAAATAATATTACAAAAAAGTCCTAGAGACAACCTATTAAATCCAAAAAAGAGAAAGAGAAAGAACTTGTGGTGAAAAATTTTAACTTGAATAATTATTTAATAAAAACTAACCACATACACAAATAATTCATTATTGAAATTTTAACACAATGAGAAAATAAAAACCTGAAAATAAAATACCCATTTGAAACAAATCACAGTATTAATTGCAAGTACAGATTAAAATATCTATAGGAACATTTCATCAAAAGTTCTTAAAAGAAATACAAAGATTTTCAGAAAATATTCACTAGAACAGCTTATTATGCTAAATGTGTACATTTTTATACCAATAATGATATTATTTAAAATATATCTATTTAGGGAAATAATGAGTAAATCTATATACATGTGTGTAAAACAATCATCATATCGCTTACCTTTCTTCCTCAGTGATCTTCCCACTGATCCTTCTTCTTTTTCTGATGTTTCTTGAACATTTTCTGGCTCTTCTTCAACTGAAACTGTCCTACTTCCATTTGTTTCTGTAACACTATCAATTTGCATTTCGATTTCTTTCACTGATAGCTCAATGTTTTTAGTGTCATTCTTGTTTTCCTTCTTATCTGTCTCCTGTTCATTAAGTTCTGTTTCTTCGCTTACTGTTTTTTTCTGGTCATCTGATACAAGTGGTAGATTTTGGTCAAGGGTTTTAGAAATAATGTTTGTAGAGTTTGTCGCTGCAGCATTACTTTTAAGTTTATCTTCACATGCAGTTAAGCTTTTTTGTATGGGAGATGTTGAACCTAGAGGAACAGGATTTGTTTGTTCATTCTTATTTTGGAATTTCTCTCCATTCAACTGGTCTACTTTTGAATCACCTTCTGAAACCTTAGAAACTTGGTTATGAGTGCCAATTTTCTCTGGGATTACATTTTCCTTATCAGCTACTGGTTCCTTATTATTATTATTTTCACAAAATTCCAAACATGCAACTTCTGCTAATCTTTCAATGTTTTCCCATACACCAGTTTGTTTTTCACTTGGTTCTAAGCTTTCTTTAGTTGTTTCACTACTAACACACTGTTCAGTCAACATGACACTCACATCATCTTCCTCAACAACTTCCCCAATCACAGCTGTTGCTCCAATGTCTTCAACTACGTCAAGTGTACCACCAAGTCCTTCTTCATCTCCGAAATAAGTTACAACATTGGCTACAAAACACTCTTCTCCATCACCTATCTGATCTGTGTGTATATGGTTTTCTAAAAAAGTATCTCCTTCAATACTTTCTACAAAGGTAACTTCTTGCACGTCACCTAGATTTCTTTCCCCCTGCACTTCTACAATTATTTCACCTGACACTTCTTCAACAAGTACTTCATCTTGTCCTCCTTCCAAAATTAATTCATTTTCAACTTCTTCCCTAACTACTTCCTCTTGTACTTCTTCTATACCAGTTCCATCTTGCACATTTACAACTATTTCATCTTGCACTTCATCCAGAACAACAGACTCTTGCGACTCTACATGTAAAACAGATTCAATATCTACATTGGAAGTCACTTCACTATCATGCTTACTTTGCTCTAGTGTTGCGTCTTTTTCCTGATGTTCTTCATTTCCTTCTTGAAGAGGTTGCATACTTTCTCCATCTTCCTTAACTTTACCTGTAACTTCACACTCTATATGTGCCACAATCTTTTTGCATTCTTTAGAATTATCATTTTCTTCTGCATGTTTAACTTGTGAATCAGAAGACCATTCTTTATCTTGTGCATATGAAGGAATAAATAATTTGTCACTCCCCTGATCTGTAGATACAACTTCCCGAATTCCTTTCATTGAGAAGTCTTCATCTGTTGCTCGCTCTTTGTCACTAATATCCATACGAGCAGCTTCTCTGTCCTTTTCATTGCTTGTATGTTTATCAGATAGCTTACTGCAGGTAAAAGCTGATACATGAGATCCATCAGCTGAATCTCTGGCAGGAGATAGTGTTGCATAAGACTGAAAAGAGTCATTACGTCTTGAGCGTGATGGAGATATATTCAGTGAGCCAGTTTCTATGCGCACCACTTCTTCTTGAATACTCTCTTCTACAGAGTCCAATACTTCTTCCAAAGGGAGTTCAATTTCTACTTCTACTGCATCGTTTTCTTCTGGAGGGACAACCACTTGTGGCCCTTTTGAAGTTTCAATCAATTTGGATTTCTGCTCTTCCTCTTTCTGAACTTGCTTTTTACTCTTCAAAAGTTTTGCTCTTGTTCTTCTTCTTGGTGTGTCATCCATGTTTTAAAAAATAATGATAAAAACAGACTTTCTTGCTATACAAAGACAGAATTTGCAAAAGCCTGCTCTGACCAGTTCTTTAAATTGAGCATCTAGACAACTGCAAAGACAAAGAGGAAAATACATTTTAGATACCACATTTAGGAATAACAAAAGTATAAAAAAGTTTATTTTGTTAAACAATATATCAATTTCACTTTAGCATAAACTACACACACCTGTGTATTTTTACAAGTAAATATTTAAATATGTCAATACACAATAAATTCTTTCCTTCATGCAAACTATATTCATTTGTGGTGGGGGGGCAGACTTCTTGCCCACCCTGTACTTTTCTTCTTAAATATACGTTATGAAACCATCACTGGCTTGCACCACATATACTATATAAAATACTAGTAACATGGTTTCTGACCAGAAAAGCTTAAGGTACATTTTTGCCTCATTTGAAAAGTGTTCCCAGTTCTATATTAAAAAAAAAAGAGTAGCGTAACACAGAATAATGTATAACAAACAGTCTTTACCAGTTTGATAAGCATAAAGGAAACTTTCTATATGTGATAAGTTTCTTAAAACAAACCAAAGGAAATGAATGCAACTCACTTAATGAAGTTGAAAATTGTTTTTGCATGACATAGATGAGCAAATCTCTTTCATGTTCTCTCGCTCTCTCACTCACTCACTCACTCACACACACACACACACACACACACACACACATATATATATATA